TCCCAAGTCATTCAGTACACAAACAGTACAAGCACACTGAACATTTGGAGATCAGAACAAAGTCTTGCACAATCAAAAAGCCATCAGGCATGCACAAGTTTTCTGTGTTTTAATGCCTATAGGTAAACAAGCTGAAGGCTGACTGACCTATGTTTAGCCGACTCATATGTCTTCTAAAAAAGACTTTGCACAGAGTAGTCTTGCAAAATTAATAACATATGAAATTAAGAAAAACATATGAAATCATAATTATGAAATTCAGGCTCTCAGCACAAAGAGGTTGAGCTTAAGATTCAACACTCACTGACGAGGTCTGACATCACCACCTCCTTGTAACACTTCAGAAGTGACAGAACACTACAATGAAGTTCAGCGTCTCTGGTTATTGGTATTTAAAAATAGAAACTCTCAGTGTTCACACAGCCTTGAAAAGATGTAAATGACTGATCTAGACAAACAGGTGAAAAGCTACAGAGCACCTACCATGACACAAGCACATGTTCACAAACAGTAAACTCAGATTTTAGCCAAATTCTTAGTGACTATTAGAGGTGGAAGGGACCTTGCATGGTAGAATGGTCCACATTTCTCTCAGGATGAAGAGGCTGTATAGTAGTAATAGTAAAACTGCCTCGGTAACAGCTGGTAAGAGAGGAATGCAAGTATGGACACTACACATGAAACATTCACCCAAAACCATCTGAGGTTTTGGCCTTTTCAGTAGTCACCACATTGAAGATGAAGACCATTAACATAAACAGTAGCCAGAAAATTATGAAGTGTTTCAAAGCAGAGAAGGAACCAGCTTAAACAGAAGTATACAAGAAGCAGAAGAGACAAGGTGTGCTTATAACCTACACTGCCTTGGGGACACACACACACACGTATTGAGTGTGATTAGAACTTGGGGGGATTACAAACAAGCACCTTGAAGTTTGTGGTGGTGTATTAACATTCTTTGCATGCCTGGTATTGTGATCTATCATGTTGCCTATACTGATCACAGCTATATAACTCAGTAAGCGCAGGTTAATTATGTATTGTTAATAAATCATGATTTCCTTTAAACTAAGTGAACTGAATCGTTTTTCCCCTGTATGAGCTTGTTTGGATAGTGATTTTGATGATTTATATATTACTGATCCACTTCTGTAAGGCAGGCCAACACCACTCTAAGCCTTAAAATCATTTATTTTAAAACAAACAAACCAACATGTAGTTTAATTAGCAAATAATATTTACATGTAAAGTTTCAATCAAAGTTCATTCTGTGAAACAAAGCAGAAATTCATACCACTAAATCAGTGTTCAGATCTCTTGTGAGCACTATTACTTGTAATTTTTTTTGGTTTTGCCAATTCTTCCTTGTTTAGAAACATGAAAGCAAAGAGATAACTTTAGGTGTAAACACACTGAGTAACCACTCTGTTAACTGCCTAGGTGTATTTTCTTCCACATCGGATAACTGACCTTCTCTAACTTAAAGATAATGCAACCTCAAGCAACTGAAGTTCCCTGCACAATAAATATATGCATATGGGCAACCACCATAGAGTAACTTATGGGTCCCTGTCAACTTGAGATATTCAATGATTTTAGCTAATGAGTTATTTGTTCCCACTCCTTCTTACCTCACACAAACTATTTCATAGGCCTATTACTGAAAAACAAATGATTTTAAGTTTTTGTCACCTGGCTACACTTTCATGCCCCGGATATTAAGGGAAAATCATCCTCATGACTGAGGTTGATCAATACACAAGCTCCAGACTGTGACTGCAAAATAATCTCCCCAGTGACAGAGGATGCACTAGAACACAGTCACTCAGCCACCTCCTTTCTGGGCACTCAATGCTGCCCAGCATCAGCCCAGCATCAGCCCTAGCCCTGTGCCAGCTGTGAAAAAGATTAGTGGTTGACCCTGTAGGAAAAACACAGTAACCAAAAGAACAGCATGAGACACCGAGGCAGGACAAAGCAATAAATCATTTGAAAAATGGCTTAATTCTGCTATCAAAGCATCAGGCAACATTTGCTTTTAAAAGTAAACACTCTAACTCCTACTTCAAATTCCTTCCCTACTTCAAATTTCCCTCTTTTGCAGTCAGAAAATTTTAGACTGCGGCTCAAGTTTAATCTGTTCAGACAGCATACTCTTAATGCTTATAGTATGCTGATTTATCTGCTCACCTCAAGAGAGGAAAGCATAAGCAGCTTCAAAAACATAAAGGGCCACAAATTTCTTCAAGGTAAGAAGATAATGATTTACCTAAGTTATATTTCAATGCACAGCTACACAAAGGATAACCATTAACCAGAAATGCAGAGGAAAAGTTGTGCAAGCATGAAATGCACTGCGCTTCAATAAGTTTTTATTACATAATCATAACTTTAATCCCAAATGCAACAATTCCAGGCACTCACTTCACTCCCAGCAATCCTAAATACACACTTCTGTAAACACACCAATTAATCAATGAAGAAAATATATATTTTAAAAAGCATTTCCTTCTTCTCTAAACAACTTCTTTTTACAGTAGTAGTCCTGCTTCATCATCATGAAGAAAACTCTACTTCTATTATTTAACATATTACTACCCTTAGGTTAGTTAAGATTTTGAGTTGCTCTATCAAGAAGCCTATTCTCCCTATGTTTTCTTGCCCTGAAGAGTCAGAGAGCACCAATGATTTCTAACTATTTTTAAATTTCAAATCTATTGCTGGAACATAGTTAGGTATTTTTCAGTGCCTCCAAGAACAGTTCCTTTATAAAGTTATTCAACTGTCTGTCAGGCACATCAGTATGTATCTTGATCATTCTTTTTTCACCTCAAGGCAATTCATAATACTACAGTCAAGCCAATTCTTTTCTAACTATGGAAATTACATCACCATTACATTCTGTAGTGTTCGTCAACACCACAGAACTGCAGTCAATGATGCTGCATGTCCTATGACATAACACATCAGAAACAAACACAACACCCATCAAACTCAGAAGGAAAGTGTTCAATTGTTAAATTACTTTAATAAATCCTAATTATTTTCTTTTTTTTTGCATTTGATGAAACCTGTGTTATCACACTCAAGCAACATTGAGGGAGAAAGCCTGGAAAGTTGAACACTTCAAGCACTTTCCAGATTTTTAGCAAGCCAATCAATTAAGAATACGGTGCTAATAAAGTTATTTATAACTTTACCAACATTAAATCCACCCTGATACACCAACTGACAATTTTTACAAGAATAGCAGGACTATTTTAAAAAAATTACTTGGTAGATACCCGAAATAACCAGTTCAAGTGTGAACGTACATAGAGCTGCAGACTGATAGCAAAAGCAATGACCTTTTCCCTTTTTTCCCCCCTATAAATCCACAGTTAGTAAACTACACTTAGATTAAAAGACTTCTAACAATCTGCGTACAAGTTCAAAGCTCCAACAGCACCGCTACTGTCAGTAGTAGAGGCAAAGACCACTGTGCTCACAGCTGTGTGAACAAGCTGTGTGAACAAGAACTGGCAGGACGATGAAGCGTTTCACGTACTTCACCAAGAAAGTTGAGCGAGCCCGCAGCCTCCCGGCCCCGGCTCTCCGCTCCTGTCACACACGCTGCCGGGCAGGACCGAGCCTCACAGCCCGAGTTCCAGCTCCAGGACACAACGCACCCCAGGGTGATGCCCGTGCTGCTCACAAACCTCCTGGCCATCACCATTTGAGAAGCTGCGTGACAGGGCACGGGGACCCCACCGCCCGCGCTCCCCTTCCCCAACACGCCGGGGACACACCGGCCACGCCGAGAGGCTTCTCCGCACCGACCGGGCGAGTTCGCAGGCCGAACCCACGGGCAGGGGCTGAGGGAAAGCTCCCCGCGAGCCGCCCGCCGCTCCTCGGTCCCGCCCGGTCCCGGCGCACTTTCTGAAGTCGGTCGCCCAAGTTCGCACGGGCAGCGACGGCGCCCTCAGGCACCACCCTGGCAACCGGCCCCTCGGGCGGCGCTGTGAAAAGCCAGCGCCGGCCACCCGCGCCGGGCAACACCGCCTCGGCCACCCCGGTCCCCCGTGAGAGCCACCGCCGCCCGGGCTCCGCGCTGCCGCCCGCAGGCCGCTCCCTGTGCCGCCGCCGCCGCCACTCACCCGACAGGCTCCTCTTCTTCTTCCTGCCCCGGTCGCTCTCGTAGAAGCCCAACGTCTCGGTTCGCTGCTGCGGAGACGGCTGCCCCGGGCCGGCGGCGGGCGGTCGCGGGTCGCTGCTGCCCCAGAGAGTTTTGGGCTCTCCGCGGCCGCCGTCCTGCCGCCCGTCCCCGGCGGTGCCCGGCGCGGTGGCGGCGTCGGCCACGCCGGCCATGTTCGCCGCCCGCTGCGCGCCCGCCGCCCCCGCGCCGCGCGCCTGCCGCTGACTCATCACCGCGCGACAGCCGCGGGACCGGCCGCGCGCCGCTGCCCCGCGCGCGGGGGGCGGGGGCGGGGCCGTGGCCGTCGCGCCGCCATCTTGTGCCGCTGTTAACCCTTCACGGGCCGGGGGTTCCTCCTCGCGCCTCCCTCTGTGAGGCTCCCTCTGTGAGGCTCCCTCTGGTTTTGTGGATCCTGCAGGGCACAAATAACGCTATTTGCGTTGGGGGACAGCTCTAGGCTTTGTTCGTAAACTGGCTGTGATGGTCACGGTTTAACACACCCCCCTTAACGCGTGGGGCTGGGGGACAGCAGTTCAAAGCAGCTGGAAACAACGTGATGAATCCACCTTGAGCCATGCAAATAAAAGACCTTGTGCAAAAAATGGAAAGCGGGCGGTGAATTATTAACTCTAAAGCCAACAGGGGTCCGATGAACTGCAGGACGCGGGTTGGCCTGGACAGGGCTCTTGAGGTCACAGCCCCGCGCTGCCCCGGCTGGGACGGCGCCGGGAGGAGCCGCGGCTGCCGAGCCCACGGGGAGCGGCTGGAGCCCCCCGGCCCACAGGGAGCTCACCAGCCCCTGCAGGGCTTGAGGAGCCCGCGGAGGTCACGGAGCCCCACGAGCCCGAAAACCAGGTCTGAAAGCATGCGGTTCCTGAAGTGCTGAGGCTGGAAATGCTGTTCGCTGCTGGCAGCGTCGTACTGGCGGCGATGAGGCTTGCCACAGACCATACTAATGAAAACTAACTGTTCCTGCAGCAAACCGCTTATAATTAATACACAAGCAAACAAGAATATAAGTAGCAGGCAGCTTCAACGTAACAGTGAAGCACTCGGTTGCAGGGCAATTCACATGGGCACGAAGACAAAATACCTGGCCTGAATTTCAAGTACAAGATCTCCTTCACATTCAGTTCTTGTGTTCTTATCAGGCATTCACAGGCCAGATGCAGTCAGCTTAATATTTAGCCACTCACCCTGGGAAAACAAAGAATGCTTTATTCTTTCTTTGCAAGGCCATAGTAGTTTTCCTGTATAACTCTTAAGTTATAAAGTTGTCCCAAAGAGCATTCCAGGCTTTGGATAGACTAGAGGTTCCCGTTTCCATTGCCTTTAGTGGTTCTAAATGCCCCAAATCTGGTAGGATTAATTTAAATCTTGTATTTTTGGGCAGTAGAGCACTTTTTACAGGCACTCGTAATAAGAGAATCATATAGGGAGCTAATAGTGATCACTACTACACATATCAATTTGGACTTTCATCTTTTCTCTGTAGATGTAAAAGGCAGTTGGAAAAATAGGATGTGGAACAAAGAGCTCCAAAAATAGCCGACAAATTACCTCGGTTGAAAGCTGCTGCAGTCTGTGCAAAGTTATATGACAAACTGGGAGACATTCTGCTTCTCTCCTTCCAACTCTGTATAAAGCTTCTATCCATCCATAAGATGTGCTTCATGATATTTAAGGACAACAAATTGTCACAGCCTTGTTATCAGTCTTACCAAAAAGAAGGTCCTTGCAGCATCAAACATCATCTAACAACCAGGCACACTGAGAAGCTATCTAATGAGTTGCCAGCATCACTTGTGACAGCACATACATTTTCTGTTCAGGGGTTGACCCAAGATAACCTTGCTTAGTTTACAACATCTTCCAGTTTTGTGCTTGAAGTCGTTCAGCTGAAGGCATGATAATAGTATGACTGCAATATGGTTCAGCTAAGAATTTACTCATCTCTTTGGCACTTCAAAACCACATTGAGTACCTATCCTCAATTTTCTACCCATGGAATCCTTCTGTATGCTTTTTTCTGTATTTATGTACAATTTATAACCATCATTGGCTGAATTTATAATATATTCTTTTTCACATGCAAATATGTATATATTTCAAGTGATATTTTGGCACAGTGGCCACTTCCAGAAGGTTAATCCAACTGCAGCAAAATCCAGTTTTTATGTATTTGAGTCCTTGAACTAGGGGGGAGAAGTTGTTTGGTGACGAATGTTAGCAGTGTTCATATAGGAAGTAGTGGTTCATTGTGATACCTACGGTTGGGAGTTATCTGGCACCGTTTGCTGTTTGGGCACAAAAAGCAGTACTTTTTTGCTTTCCATAGCTTATCTGCTATGAGACATGGTGTGGAGTGACTCTGCAGCGGGTCAGAATCTGCTTTACAGTTTCATAACCGTTCACCAATCTTTTCCTGAAGAGATTTTTTAGAGCAAGACACAGTCCTGTCTATGTTCCCACAGCTGCAGTTCCCCTTTTTTTCCCCAAAAGATAATCAGCAGGTGGAGAGGAAAGGGAGGATTATTTCAAAACAATGACTGTGTGCAGGAAAAAACCCAGTTTCATTCATAGAACAGCAAAAACGATTAGTATACTGAATACAGCCCAGGAAGTAAAGGCTACTTGAATTTTATTAGAAATGTCAGCACAACTAGTCTTCGGGGCTTTGCACAAGCTTATTTTTTTGCCTTAAATTTTCTATACATATAGATTAATGTTTATCTACCTTTAAAGTATATTATATATAATCATCACAGAGGGATTTTTGCTCATTTGATATCAGGAAATTTTTTCAGGCACTTTTAAGTATTAAAATTTTATAGTGTCCAGCTCAGCTGTGCTTTAGTCCCTGAGTACTCATTGCTACAACTGCTTTCTCTCCTAGTGAGGATGGTCTTTTTCTGTAGAACATTTTACTTGGTTTAAAACTCCTTCTTTTTTTGTAATGGATCTTTTTCCCCCATAAGACCCAACAAAAGGTCATTAAGAAGAAGATTCAGAAAATGGATAAAAATTGTTTTCATAGTGCTTTTTGGTGGCAGAACTTTGTTGTCTTTTCAGACCTTGCCATCTGTGTCATCTACCCCCACCAACTCAGATAATCCCCTCTTAACAGAGATGGCATATCAGTGATGTGTGCTAAAAAAGAGGTTAAGTAATATCTTTTTAGAGAGCAATACAAACATGGAAAAAAATCTGTCAACAAAATTATATCTCATATGAGATGCAAATTGTGGACATAGGTTAGGAAATGTGAAAGAAGTATAGAGAAAAGTTTGGAAACTCAGTGTACTACCAAGAAGAGGTAGATGAAACTGGAGAACACGTTAACTAGCAATAAAGAAGATGCAGGTGTTAAAATGATGGTAGTAACAATGAATACTCATAGCAGTATGAAACAATTATGAGTAACTGCAATACTCATAACCGTGAAAACATCTGGTATCTTTCCATTGTAAGCTTTTTGTTAGTAGGGGTCAAACTTCTTTAGACTTTGCAATATTGCTTAAAACAGACTAAATACTAAAAAGGTATGCTTTAATGGTTTAATTTCTTGAGTATCCTTCAGGAATTATCTTGGATTATTGTCTTCATTGCTTTCAATCATTTTTTGTTTTTAAAAGTGTCATTGCTGAGTACACCTTCTGTGGGGAGGCAAGTCAACAAAACTTGGGGTGAATTCAAAGTACAATAATGCCAATTTATTTCCACAACAAAATATTTTCAGGTCCTTTTGTAATATAAACAATTTATTTTGCATTAGGTTTGTGACTTTTAGTTCATCGATCCACTTATTATGTGGGTGCATATTCATTCTTCTACTAAAGGCAATGAATCTCTTAGCAACAACTGATACTAGCAAACTTAGGTCTAAATCTCTCAGAGTCGCAGCTGTCATATATTTGCAAGGTACAAAAGTATTGGTTAGAAATATAATCTAATTCTGTCTCAGTCAGTTGTGTTTTGGTAGCTGAAGTTAAAAATATCTGTTTACGCCCACAGGAGAAAAAGTCATGTAAAGACTGTTTCCTTCATCTTATGTTCAACATCTAAGCAGTACATTAATGTTTGCATGGGATAATCTTCACTATGAAAAATAATCAGTATAAGAAATTGTTGTATACACACTAGTAACCTAAGTGTTTCCCCCCCCTTTTTTTTTTTAAATTTCAATAGAAAATATACGATTCTAGAGTTTACCATATTTTTTCCTGAGTTGTAGGCTCACTAAAGATTAGGTTGATTCCTAGGTAAGCTAAGGGCATTACTCAACATCAGCATGTCCTTGAATAATGAAAGTACAAATCATGTTATGCAATACCATAGTACCTGAAAGTCGGGTTTGACTTCTCACTGGTACATTTCCATTATTTGTTTGCTTTAGAAACTGTATTATATAGCACAGGAGCTACTGCACAGCTAAAATCAGTGGTGCTTTCCGATGACACCATAATTTTCCACACCTGCCATCTTTGAAATTTTTGGAAGAAATAATTCTTTTCAGACACTTTTGTATGGTATTTTATCCCAGGACCATAGTTCAAGCAGGATTGAAGGGCAGAGGTACAGAAAGTTGCTTCAGTATTACAGGTTTTTAAATGCATGCTCACATTATCTTAAAAATAAAATTGAAAATATTCTTTGATTTTTGTTAAGACTTCTAAGAGTTTCCTAGTGTAATATTTTTTATATCTCTTTTCCTGTCAGATATCTTGATTTTTTTTTAATCAAGCAAATACTTTTTCTGTGACCATCAATGACAGTTTTTTCCTGCTCATGGTCTGATCTCCATTTCCCAGTGTCAAAATTTCTTCAGGGTTTATATATCCTTATCAAAATGCCACAACTAATACGTAAACTAATGACTCTATTGGAGTCCAGATATCTGAATCTCTGATGCCCTTTATGTAGAAAAGCAGCAAAGGTTCTTTTCAACATCATCATCACTGAACTCAGTGATATGTGGGGCATTTCCCCATAAGGTTCACACATTTGAAAGTAAAGTAGCCCCAAGATTCCTAACTCTCTTTAATTCCAAGTTACTTTTATCACAAGCTTCAACCTGAGATGCTGTAAGAAAGGTTTTGTAATCTCTTCTTTCCTCTTTTTTTCATGTTACATATCTGTAGCTGCATAACATTTAAAGATGGCTCTATACATGGCAAGATAAGTTTAAGTGTTATAAAAAAAGAGTGCAGCTGCCTTTGACTGCATCCTCAGCTGCTTCCTCAGCAAAGCTTAAGACAGACATGAGGTGTGAGAGGAATAGGTGGGAGGAAATTGGTGAAGAAAATGGAGATGGAAAGATGCTTATAAAGAGCTCCAAAAGTCATGAAATGGGAACAGAAGAGCAACTGGAGTATTGTCTCTTAACATCAGTTCCTTGTACCTAAAAATGAAACACCCAGTATTAGAAAGTGATTGGTGTTTTGGTATCAGAAAATGTTGCCTGTGAAGTATGTAATTTATGTAAGTTTCCTAATATATAAGTTGCAGTCTACCATTTCTTCATTTTTTCAGGTTCAAGTAGCAAAGGTGAACCCCCAAACTTAGAGTGTCAGGGTGACTGAATTTACAATACGAGTTTTCAGTCTTGCCAAACCCAAGTGGAGATGGAAATCTGTGTTATAAGAGTCATCAGCAATCAGGATTTCTGTAAATGGTCCTATTGATTTTAATTAGTTGAAAGTCTCAGCTCAGCAAGAGTATTTCCATTATAATAATGTATGAAGACAGATATATGTATATATATACACACAATTAGATTGTGAGATCTCTGGATAGGATCTTAAGTCTCTCATTTCTGGAAAGCATCTCCACTCAGAAGAGAATTTAAATATGCT